CCCAAGGGACTTACTCAAGGCTACACAGTAAGCCAATGGCAGAGCACAATGGCTTGTTTATATTTTAATTGCTGTCCTAGAACTCCAATGACGTGTGGACATTAGGGGTTTGATTCTGCAGGGCGTTGAACTTTCTGGCAGCAACGCATTTAAGCAAGAGTTTAATTTTAAGCATGTGGGTAGTTAATTGGACTGCTCATGGGCTTAAAGTTAAGCACATGCTTAAGTGCTTTGCTGGTTCAGGCCAGAGGGCTCAGCACCTGGCAGGATCTAGCTGTGTATAAAGAAAATGTATTGCTGAAGGCAAAATATCTTGTAAAGCTTCCACTGGTGGCCCCTTTGAAAGTGCTATTGGAAATACAAATAATTCTGATACTGAAGAACTGTGAACTAAGAGGGTCACACTGTAAGGATGATTGGCTAGTCTTGGTCTTCTTTGGCCTGCAAGCTGTTTCATCTGCAGACTCAGAGATGCTCTAATTCCGGAGTCTTCCATATGTTTTTTGGCAAATCTTCTCAAGAACATCATTCAAGGGGGCCCAATTCCTGCCCACCCCCAACCAGGATCTGCATGCTACCCTCCACGCACGTGTGCAGAGTGCAGCACGAAGACCATGCTATTACCCAGAACCTTTACGTGAGGATATACACATGGGGTTAGAACAGAAATTATGAGGTTTTTAAAAAGATGTGACGTAAAATCTCATGTACCCTATAGGCTGCCTTTCTGCCTATAAACCTCAGCCACCTTTCCTGGACTATCAGATAACTATGTAAAAGCTAAAGGGCCAGAGTCTGCCAACATTGCTCAGGTTGTGTAGTACTCTACTCCCCCAATTCAATGGGATCGCACTAGAGAAAGGTACTGCTCAGTGTGAGTAAGGGTGGCAGAATCTCCTTACTTTCCTTATTCATCCAACTGCAGTATCTCTGCTCTTCAGGGGCTCAGTCATTTCAATGGCTGATGACAGGAAAAAGTAATGTAAGGCATTCCTAATGGAGTGTAGTGTGTGAGTCAGCAATTCTGCACCTTCTCATTCTGTTACAGCCCAGGCAGAGCAATCTTGGTTACCTTGTCAGCTTTTCCCTGCAGTTCTTACTCACGTGGACCATCCAGTTGATTCAATAGGGAAAGGTTTGCTAGATCAGACCCCTCTTACTATGCAAGTGCTTGCTTTGCTTTGAGTGTGATCAGACAGGTGGTCCCATAGCAGCACCACCATCATCCTGCTACGAATCTCAGGAAATCAGATAAGGAACATACTTGCATTGCTGGACTCCATTGTAAGGTACTACAATCAGCTTCAAGGAGAGCAGATTACTGGATACACTGCGGTTGACCCAAGGATCACATTCTTTAGAGGTCAAACAGGAGGCCGTCAGCTTTCAGAGGAAACTATTTGCCTGCCTTGATGGGGAAGACTCAAGGGAATAGTACAGAATGTGAACTGAGCCTGCAAGCAGGAAATGGGCCCAAGGAAAAATGCAAGCTTCTGGTGCTGCTTGTTCCCCATGAGATTTTAAACTAGGTAGTAACATAACCTTGCCAATATTTCACTTGTGTGAGGCTTGCAGACCCTTACATAAACTCACAAGTCTCATTCTAACCTAAACAACATCTCCCAGAATGTTTTTGTGTGCATCTCATTTGGTGCAAGCGGGTCTAGTTAAATGCAAACAAATTATTCTCCAGCACCATTTGTAAGTCACCTCTGGAAGGGAGAAGATAGCAACATCAACAGAAAGAGCAAACTTCTTCAAGGTAGGGAAATCATCTTAACCTTTCCTGCAGCTGGGTGGCAAAATATTAACTAGGTGTGCCCGGAAACCTTCCTGTCTAGCACATCTGTGAACAGAGGGCAGGCTTTGCAATTTCTTCAGCTGAAACGGGGACATTTAGGTAGGCAGAATGTAATGCCCCAGATTTAGAATTTGACCAGGACACAGGGGAACACTTCATCATGAAGAGTGCCATGGGATCTTGAATGACTGTAAGTGATCAGGGCTGCCTTGTTTTTACATTTTATCTATAATTCTCACCTGTATCAGCGCAGTTGGGCCCCAGCATTCTGCAGGCATATTGAACAACTTGTCAGCAACTATAAGGGTCCATGTCTGTCTGCCTGCCCCCGTTATCGCAGTTAGAATAAATGAAGTGTTTAAAATCATGGATAAATTAAGCAATGTTTACTACTGACCTGAAAGCTGAGTATTTGTTTTCTTGCTTTTTCTTCCCTTTTTCAGGTTTTCCATTCTCTTCACACAACCACTTCTTTTACCAGCAACTTTCCCTCATTTCTTTTTTCTGTTTGTTTTCATTTTCTGTACATTTTTTCTCCCTTTTTATTTTCTCCTCTTCCTCTCCCTGTTGGCTTACACACTGCTTGCTTGCCTTTTTCCTTTCAACCTCCATATCTTTCTTTACCTCCAAATTTCCTACACTGCCCTTTCCCTGAATCCTGCATTTGCACTTCAGTCTACTTTCCAAACACTGGCTTGCCCCCCTCCGTATTTGCCTCCCATTTCACTGTAGCTTATACTTACTTCAGAATGGGTTCCTGGTGCAAAAGATCTTGGGCTCGCATGCCTCCTCCTGGTTGCAGTCTGTGTTCCAGTGTAAGGTTGCCATATTGCATCCACCCTTTAAGCATCCTGATTTCAAACCTCCATGGGCTTGAGGGAGACTGTGGATTGTGCCTTGGGCCTCAAAAGCCTAAAGAATTGTAGAGGTTTCCAAAGAGTGGATAATCAGACAGACCATATTTATTGTGATACTGAGGCAAAAGGGTAAGTCATGGAATCAGCCTCAGTCATCTATCAATTGCTTTTGATGGATTATACTGTATATTATAAAAGCAAGTAGAAATGGAAAAGATCCATTAGTTTATGTCGTCTATCCCGCTGCCAGTGTACGAGTATTGTCCACAACATAGTATTGTATGCTTCGTCCATTCTGATTTATTTAACTCAAGCAACCTGTGTCTTTCACCTCCTGCCTAAGAAGGATAGACTATATCTCAAGAATCTCATAGCTTAAGAATATTTCCAGAACTTTAGCTTACATTTATTTTTTCAGTTTCAGCTAATTATATTTGCTTGGGACAACATAAACAATTGTTTTGTGTTTATATCCTTCCAATACATATAAAGAGGTAGAACAGATATTATTTAATGTTGAAACAAAATAAACATATTTAGTTCTTTGTTTTCCTCACAAACTCACATCCCTTTGAACTTAATGTCTGGCTAACTTTCTCTGAGTTCCCGCCAAATTACACTGGTCTACAATTTTTGAGAAGTCGTCTGCTTCAGAGATAAAATGTGCTATTTATTATGTATTT